TATATATATATATATATATATATATATAAAGACATTTTATGTTTAACATTATTTTTATAGATACAAGTATTTTAGTAAATGCTGTGTTTATAATACACAGTATTAAATAACATTTACCGGCCTGAATGTCCGAGAAATTTTCATAGAACAGGATTCGAACCTTTTCGCAAACCTATACGGAACCGTCATTTAGCTTGACGTGCCTAACCTCTCGGCCACAAAGGATCGTTCGGTTGTCAAGGTCGAATTTACTGCTTATAAACTTCAATCTTCCATGAATCTCGTACATTCATAACTGCTCATGGCGTATCAAATGAAAACAAATGACGTCATACATTAAGAAATGGACAAACTCCGACAATTTATTAAAGACATTTTTATGTTTAACATTCTTTTTATAGATAGAAGTATTTTAGTAAATGCTCTGTTTATAATATGTTTTCTATGAAAATTTCTCGGACATTCAGGCCGGTAAATGTTATTTAATACTGTTTATTATAAACAGAGCATTTACTAAAATACTTGTATCTATAAAAAGAATGTTAAACATAAAAATGTCTTTAATAAATTGTCGAACTTTGTCCATTTCTTAATGTATATATATATATATATATATATATATATATATATATAGCGATGTATCAAAATACTTTTACGAACTTTCCTCCTCTATGGTACCTAGATATTATGACTTTAAACGCAGTGCTAGATTGGCGACTAGGTCTTATCATTTTGCAGTTGGAATGTTTAGACATAACCGCAAGTCCTATGTTAATAGTTTATTCTCTCGCACTTTCGCTTGTGGAACTCTCTCTAGGCTTCTTGCTTTTCGGTCAAGTTTGCTCTTTAAAAATATAAAGGCAATGTCAATCGTTATCTTCTGTCTTCTTAATTGCTATTCTTTTATTGTTCACTCTCCTTAATAGTTTTTCTTATATTGTCTAATATTCTAGTAAACTCTTGCGTCTTAGTAGCTTTATTGCCTTGCTTCGTGTGAAAAAAAATGCCAAGAAATATATTCATTGCCAGAATTTTTTTCTGACGTCATCTTCGTGCATTGGAATAATTCATAATCGAGTGAGATAATTGAATGAACCAAATTATTTTTCGCCTGACGTCATCAATTTTGCTATTTATTTATTTTTTTTCAAATTCCCATTGAGGCATGCGCGCATATAGACATGAATTAATTTTGTCTGCTTTTTATTGTTTTCTTTTTCCTCGTTCTTTCTTCCGGGCAATATTCAGCCATATTGAAACGATCTCAACTGTGAAATGTCAGTATAGATTCTCAGTTTATAAATCAGTGTTCACATCAGCAAATTTTCATATTTGAAAAAGAAGTTTCTCTTCTTGTATGAGATCTTTCATTCGTATTCAATAAAACCTGTCTATTCTGGGCCAAGTATATTTATTTATTTGATTGCTACTGACTTGCTGGATGCATTTTGCTTTTCGGCTTTAAAATATTTTTTCCACGCATGTTTGCTGTCAGTTAAAAGAAAGAAAAGGCAGTAATGTAATCGTTTTAAAATCAATCTGAAAACATTTTCTCTTGCATTATAAACTGGCTTAAAATATCGAAGGTCTTTTTAATTTTATCGTATATTGACGGATATAATTGTTTAAGTCTTGAACAGCGCTGGCTTTTTGTCGGATTTATCAAAGAATTACAAATGAAATTAAAAAGAAGAGAAAATTACATACAGGGAATTAATTGCAGGAAGTTACAATTTGAATAATGTTATTCTTTACAGTGAGAATATTTTTCACGTCATTGCGCTGAGAGTAAGCCTAAACTTTCAGAGTACGAGCGCCTTGGCATTTCAGACAATTAATACTATATTCAGCTTGACCTTCAGTGAACACCCAAATTGTATATCCTTGTGCCAGACTCAACTAAAGAAAGTAAAAAACAAATGCGCTTTGATGTGCATCAATGCTTACCAAGTTTGTTTCGAAGAATTTTATCTCATATTAAATTTATTCTAATACAAGCCTAGATTGCCGCTCAAGGTAGAGCATTAGTCATTATGATTCATGAGGGGGGTGAGATAAATGCAAGAGAATATGGTATGAATTAAAGGTTATGAGGACAAGGAGCATAGATAACGATTGATCTTTGAATTTGAAGAGGTTAAGACTGGTGTCATTTGATGGCGGGCGGAAAATTGTAAAGGAACTTGCCGAAATTGTGTGCAAAATTCTGTGTATATTCAACCGAGTGGCCGAGTGGTTAGAACTTTCTCTTTCTGGCCATGAGAACCAGGTTCGAATCTCACCATGGTCGATTTGTCAGGAAGGAGACTTCCTGATGTTATCGGACTGGATTGAGGTTGATCCCAGCGCGCGGCACCTTTGGAAAGTGCCCGAAAACCATACCACTGGTTGACCCAAACCTTGCGAGTGAAATTGGGTACACGGAACCCTTGAGGGCCGTCGATAGCTGTGTTAGCTTGAAGTCACAAGTTATCGTGGCCGAGGGCTTGAGCATGCTGGA